GGATCCTTGTACGGATGGTTTTCCTTTCTCTCTCTGGTACATTGATGTTAGTTGATGAATAGAAAAACAGCTTCACTCTAAGTCTTAAACATTATTTTCCAAACTGAAATAACTAACTCTAATTAAGAATTCATGCAAAAAGGCTGAAAAATGTATTTAGGTTTTTGATAAAGTTTCCATCAAAAAAACTGCTGATCTCTAATCATTTACAACAGTGCTCATCCATAACATTCATCAACTGGAATCGGATCCAAGACCCTTGAATTCGCACGTGAACTCTTAACCTCTAGACCACCGAATCGGCTGGCATCCAGCGGTGTTAATGCATAACTTTATTCAATCGAAGGTCTTGCGCAACATCACCCATTGTTTTAGGTAGATAAATGTCTACACCCGATAGGGTTGAACTCAGCTAGTCATGGCTTCTCACTATAAGTAAAACCTGCTTATATTACGTCATATTTTTTATTATCCTCTTTCTTTACAAACCTGCCATGTGATCAACTAAAAACTGGCTAAAATCTGTGAAATTTATTTCAAAGAATTGTTCAGTCTCGTGAAATTGTAATTTCTGAACGACTTTTGAGCAACAGCAAAATGACTTTCAGAAAACTATCCTACTTATTGGGTTCTAAATAAGGCTGTAAATTAGTTTGTAGCATTGGGGATTTTAACGTCAAAATGCTGTCTAGCCTTATATATGAATGAATTTCGCGCTAAAATCCAAGACCCGTTATCTTCAATCTGATTGGTTCGTGCATAAATTATAATCTCACTTTCAAGGTCAACTTAACTCAAACATCTCATACATAGTTTCAACAAACAGTTACGAAAAACGATCTATTTCCATTCGGTAATCAGTTAACATATTCATGAGTAGATTCAAGTTACATAGTTTGGATTATTTTGAAACTTGTCATATAAAATTTCATATCCAACTGACCTTATATTGATGATGATATTTTCTGTTCAAATTAAAGTATTTTTAATGATTTATATGTTCAATAGTTAAATATTTAGGCAAAAGTATAATATACTGATGGCCTTGAGTGAACCAATCAGGATTAAGATAATGGCTGTTGTATTTTGTGCGAAATTTAAAGTGCAGTATTAGTTAACTTGTATGTTATTAATAATGAAGTAAAAATTGTGAATATACGGTCGTTAAAATGCTTGCAATCAATAGAAATTTCTATTATGAAACCGATAGGTGAATGAATAGTGGTAATTAAGCTAAATTACCGAGCATAACTACTCTCAAGACAATTTATATGTAGAAATACTTGTTGTGACTCAATGCGTGGCCAATAGTGTTTAGTGAAGCTATACAATATCCTACCTTTCTAACTCACAATCTAAATCTCATCCATAGGTCACTTCAGCTTGTGAATAGTAGAATGATAAAGCATTCTATTAGAGATGATGTCAGTTACTGATGAAAACTTTAACATAAATTCGAAACACTAAACTCAGAATTCCAGCTGATCACTTACTAATCAACTGTAGCCATTTTGATTTTGCATTATAGCATTTTGGAGATCATTGTTTTTACACATTAGAATCATGAATGAATCATTGTTAGACCACCATTATAAACCTGGAAGCACTGGACGGCCGTTTCGTCTTGGTATGGGACTCATCAGCAGTGCGCACCAACGAATCCCGCTACGCTCATGAACCGAAACAAGGAAATGAGGCCTTGCTCGTGAACGCCGGCATCTAACAGTGTTAGCGTCTAACTTGTTATGATTTATTCCATTGTTGAGTATTGAATGAAGCTAAATAGCAGTTCCACTTTCTAACTGTCACTCGAAATCTTATTTTTAATTCTCTTGAGTTTGTAAACAGTAGAGTGATTGAGCATTGTATGATTACTGATGTTAGTTCGTAATGAAAACTATAACCCTAACTAATAGACTAAACTTAGAACTATAGCTTAATTCTTTATACATAACTCTAACTTTGTTGCATTATTGTTGATTTCAACTACTTACGAAAACTATGAGCTGATAACTATAAAATTTACACTTTTCTGTTACTACAAAAAATAATTTAACATGTGAGGGTTGATTATTCATCAGGTCAAAGCTATTAATTCCACTGATATCGTACGGTTTTTAACTGTTGACTGTCATAGACTAGTAGACCCCGCTCGAAATTGTCAATATAGTACTCTTCCACCGAATTATTCAATGACTGCAAATTTATTTTCACTGAGAATTATAAGAAAATATTTGCATACCACGTTACATCTAGTTTACATTTAACCTCAAAAAAGGAATATACTAGTAACCTTATACAATCCACAGTGTAATTCTGAGTCAAGTTGCTAAGATAAACCAACTGTTATTACTGTTTCTTTCACAAAAATAAACAGTCTTGTTTATGACAATAAATTTGACTGGGGAAATTTTCTTCTTCACACTGCACCATCGTAAAACAATGTCTGTTTTTACAGAATCTGTATGGTGGAGTCTATTACGTACGCACACACGCACACACACACACACTGCTCTTAGTAATACGACATTGGCGAATACAGAAGATCCATCTAAGAGAGTCGAAAAACCTCCATTTCAAACCAGATGCTGACGGAAATAATGGTGTATGAAACTAATATTAATCAGTTGCTACAGTGAGATTGCATCTCTTGACGTTACTCTACTCTCTCGTAGATTAAACATATAAGTTATTAGCTCGGAGACTAGACCTTAGTGAAAACATCCGTTTCAGTCTCAGCACTGAGACAATATCGAAGCGGACCCACATTTTTCGAATAATTGTGCTTAAATAAATGAACAAATAAAGTATTTTCATTTTCATCAGTACTGGTATGACTGTTAGTAATTTATTGACAAATGTCATTTAGTGCCAAACTTACATTTCATAAGTGGCATTTATTTCACAAGCTACCTATAACTATCTAATGATAGGGTAACCATAGTAATAACAATAATAATGATATTTACAATACAAACAGAAATACTTACTTACTTACTTACTTACTTACTTACTTACTTACTTACTTACTTACTTACTTACTTACTTACTTACCTACTTACTTACTTACTTACTTACTTACTTACTTACTTACTTACTTACTTACTTACTTACTTACTTACTTACTTACTTACTTACTTACTTACTTACTTACTTACTTACTTACTTACTTACTTACTTACTTACTTACTTACCTACTTACTTACTTACTTACTTACTTACTTACTTACTTACTTACTTACTTACTTACTTACTTACTTACTTACTTACTTACTTACTTACTTACTTACTTACTTACTTACTTACTTACTTACTTACTTACTTACTTACTTACTTACTTACTTACCTACTTACTTACATCTGTTCTCCCTAAACGGAATGTGTAGACTGCTGAACAATCTAACCAACAAACACTCATGAATAGATTTTTTTGTATTTTATGACTTTCTTTTTCATATAAACTGAATATAATTTTTTAATAAGCTGTTAAAATGTTAAAATTCAAATACTGACAAGATCGCTTTGGTTTTTGGATATTATTCATGCCGATTATGTAATAATAATAAGTGTTATCAGTGTAATTTTTCTAAACAACACAATGCAATTAAATAAAATCAATAACTAAAAACTAATCACAAATTAAATTCCTTAATAATAAACGAATTATTTATAAAATAGTACAATTTAACAAGAACAATCGAGAGTTTATTATTTAATTTAGTAAATTTAATTAAATTTATTTTGATTAGTTACAATTTATCCTCCGAATTAGAACTCTTTCTGAAGCCCCTATCGGGTTACTGCCGGTCCCAAAAGCAAACGAAGGACGAGGCATGGCCGGGGGGTTAACGACTCAATCTGACAGAAAACTAACTAGCTAAATAAAAGACTCTAAGCAGAGCAAAATAATAATTTTCCTTAATAAAGGGTTGTGAACACTGTTGAGTTTTATTGAAATGGTGAATCAGTTAGTGTTAGAACACTATTAGAAACCTATAAACACTGGACAACTGTTTCATTCTTGTACGGGACTCATCGGCAGTGCACATTCACGATCCACACACGCGAGCATCGCATCTAGGACCTTCGGCCCAATGGGTATCACTACTGACGAGTCCCATATTAAGATGAAACGGTCGTCCAGTGCTTCCAAGTTAATAATAGTGATCTAACAATGATCTATTCATCACTTTAATTATTCTCCTTAGTTTACTAATTGTACTGACAGATTAAATGATCCCTCATGTTTATATCGAATGATTACTTAATACGACTGATTTAAATTATTTTATTGAGTAGTGTTAATAAATTATATGGAAACATCAGTTTGATTCTTATTTGTTAGATCATGGATTAGACACTGTTGATGAGTCGTTATATTAAAACGAAATAGTCATCGACTGTTTCTAGATTCCTAATGGTAATCTAATACTGACCAGTTAATGATAATCAACGCTATACAGATGTAAACAGAAATGAATAATGGACAACAGTGAAATTCACTACTCATGTTTTATTCCTTTTGGGACTCATTTTTATCTAGATATACCGACATCTCAGAGTTGAAGCACACACTGAGATTCGAACTCAGTTCCGTTCTGTTTTAAGCGCTATCTCTATTTACAAATACTTATCTCTTAATGACAATATCAAGTCAATCAACACATGATGTACACGCGTCAAATGACATTGATAAATTACAATGCAAACGATCAATGAGAAAATTCAAACAGCCAGTGGTGTATAATAAACTCTATATAACCACTGCCTGTTTACTTGTCTGTAAGTAATTCATGGTTTTCTTTTGAAATCATTGTAACCGTCAGTTCAAATTATAAAAGATTAAACCACACCTCTACCAGGGTTATTTAAGTCAGCTGTTTAATTTAAAACATGATGTAATCGCATAAATTACCCACCGAATGAATATTACATTAAAGTTCTTCCCACATATCACGTAATACATAATCAATCAAATTTCATATTTATTTATAACTTACTGGCCATGGATGTATAATTCCAATTGAATGTATATTAGCTTCTAATAATCCATATGTAATATCTGTATTACCCCAATGACCAGTGTATATTTCTCCATACATACATGGACCATGATAAATATTTGTACTATTCAACAATGATATACTACTTAGTGTATACGGTTCAATACAAATACGAAATTCCAATGCACATTCATCTTTACATAAATCAGTAAAAATTTCATTCACTGGTGGTCTTGATGAAAGTGATTGTTTCGATCGACCACAACAACTACCATCAATACGTCGATGTGCATGATTATGAAATTCTAAAAATTTTATTGAAAATATTGCTAAACGATTTTCTTGTTGTGCATGATGATGATGTGAATTTGTTTCTGCTGTGTTTAAGGCATAGATCCATTGAATATGAATTGTTAAAATAATAAATAAACAAATAAGTCGAGAAAATGGCATGGATTTTAGAGTAGATAAAAAATATAATATCCCACAACAACTACAATGATAATTTATAAAAATTATTTAAACGAAAAATATTATACATATCTATCTACCTTACAAAAAAAAGAGAAGTTGGATTTAGTTTCATTTTTTAACCAATCATTTTGAAGCAACACCCCCTTAGACTATGTTGATAAATTAGCAAAAGTCAAATGAGAATTAACCAATGAAAAGCATTTGGAGTTGTGATTGGTTATAATTTTGACATATGGCGCATTCTAATCAAGTTAGTTTCAACATGTCTATACGCTAAAAATCAGTCGTGTTGGTTACTTTTGACAAGGTAGAATTAATTAGTTAAATATAATTTTAGTTTAGTATCAAAAGATCGGATTTTTTTGTAAAGAAATATTGAAGAAGCATTTATATTTTTCATTACTGAAACCGTGGGTCAATCGTCAGTGCAGAAATGGAACCTCAAAGCACTGGACAGCCGTTTCGACCTGGTATGGAACACACCAGCAGTCCTCAGCTCAGGATCTTCGGTCTTGTGCGTGAACGCTTAACTACGCCTGGAGCCTCTCTGGGGCTACTGCCAGTCCCAAACCTGGATAAAGAAAGAGGGTTGGACATGAAGTAGGTGACCTCATCCAGTAAAATTAACTCGCCAAAAAACGCTAACCAGAAAAAATAAATCAAACAGTTTTAACTCTGCCATGGAATTTAGAAGTTCTTCATTCAGAAGAGTTATGACGTCTCATTATGAGAGCCGAATCCCGAGGCCATGGCCCTTCTCTTAAACAGGGCAAACATTAATTTAGGTATACTGAATGTTCGTACAATCTGAGTGACAGAAAGACTGGTCCAAATTACTGTAGAGATGAAAAGATACAACCTCGAGGTGCTTGAGTTCAGTGGAAAAGATCGGAAGCAGGTTGGGTAACAAAAACTAGCTTCACGAGGGCTGCTGTTATACTCCGGTGATGAAGAAGCAGATGCGTCTGACTCAATGAGTTGCACTGATGCTGCCCAAACAAGTACAAAAGGCACCGACAGGATGGTAATCTCAAGGACCCAGGATCATTAAAGCATCCTTCAAAACAAAGAAACAGGACATTACAATCAACGTCATCCAATACTATGCACCTACCAATGACTACAATGACGACGTTAAAGATCAATTCTACGAAAGGCTGCAGTCAGTCGTCGAGAAATGTTCACCAAAGGATTTGACGATTCTTATGGGAGACCTGAATGCCAAGGTTGGCATGGACAACACTGGATATGAAGACATCATGGGACGACATGGACTGGGAGAAAGGAACGAAAGTGGTGAGAGATTTGCAAGCCTATGTGCCTTCAACAAACTGGTCATCGGTGGCACAATATTCCCGCACAAACGCATACACAAAGCTACATGGATTTCACCGAATCACACTACCCAAAACCAAATCGACCATATCTGTATCAATAAAAAGTTCAGAAGGACCATGGAGCAGGCGAGAAAAAAGAGAGGAGCGGGTACAGTCTCAGATCATCACTAAATGGTCGCCAAGATGAAAGTGAAACTCAAGAAACACTGGACAACGGGGCGAACAACACAAAAGTTTAATACAGCCTTTCTTCACGATACCGGAAACCTCAGCGAATTCAAGATAGCCCTCAGTAATAGGTTCCAGGCTTTGGATGATCTACTCAATGGAAAGAAAACTACCATGGAGAACAATTGGAAAGGGATCAAGGAGGCAATCACTTCAATATGTCGGAAGGTTCTGGGCCACAGGAAGTACCATCACGAGGAATGGATCTCCGTTGGTACTCTTGAAAAGATTCAAAAAAGGAGGAACAGGAAGGAAGTAATAGACATCAGCCGAACAAGAACAGAGAAATTTAAGGCACAAGCTGCATACACAGAAGCAAACAACATGTGAAGGGGCGCATCAAAGTCGACAAACGAATATATGTGGAAGATCTAGCAATAACGGCGGAAAAGGCTGCAAGAGAATGAAACACGAGACAACAAAGAAGCTCGCTGGAAACTATCGTAAACCAGAAAGACCAATGGAAAGCAAGGAGTGTTGGAGACATGAGATCCCCAGAACTCACTTCATAAAGGTCCTAATTTCGGATTTTATGTTTTCGAGTATGGGCTGATCGGTTGACTTTGAGATCACATTTCCCACCAGGATAATCCCTGGCTGTGATTGGTTGCTGCGCTATTTTAGTGTGCTATTTTTGTGACTTTCCCAAGGACGTCTCTATAATGTACAAATAAACGCGATTTGTGTGCTTGAGATCATTGTGTTTGCTGGGTGTTTGTAGAATACACTTTCTACGCTATATCAAGAATTATTCATCAGTTAGTTTGAGGCAATGGATCAGAGTAGCCTACTGTGTCGCTGGATCATTTGTCTTCGCTCTCGTTTACCAACTAAGATTTGCTTGTAATAGTTCAAGCATAACAAGTAGGGTAAAGTGATCAGCAACACTGAAGAACAGCGAAACAGGTGGGTGGAGCACTTTAAGGAACCCTTTAATCAACCAACCCCACTGAACCCACCCAACATCGAAGCAGCATCTACGGACCTCCCAATCAATGTTGGCGCACCAACAATTGAAGAAATCAGCATGGCCATCAGACAAACCAAGAGTGGCAAAGCAGCAGGACCAGACAACATTCCAGCAGAGGCAATGAAAGCAGACGTGGCAGCAAGTGCAAAGATAAACCTCATTCTGTTCAACAAGATTTGGGATGAGGAATATGTACCATCAGATTGGAAAGAAGGAGACCTCATCAAAATACCAAAGAAAGGCGATCTCAGCAAGTGTGAGAATTACAGAGACATCACTCTTCTTTCAATACCGGGAAAAGTCTTCAACAGGCTGTTGTCAAACAGAATGAAGGACTTCGTAGACGCCCAACTTCGAGATCAACAGGCTGGATTCCGTCAGGATCGATCGTGTACTGACCAAATCGCAACATTACGGGTTATCGTGGAACAATCGATTGAATGGATCTCACCTCTTCACATCAACTTCATTCACTACCTTTTACGAAAGTAAATGGGCGAAAACTGAGTGCCTAATGCTCCAACCTGGTGAGAGGGCATAGGATATGGTATTTAGAGTGTACAGTGTTGCGATAGGATCATCCTAAAACAAAACGCTTATTCAATACTCTATTGGTTCCTAGTAATAATGGTGGACGTTTGAAAACTAAACAACAAATTTCCCTAAAAATATCGATTTTACAAAATGTTTCTTTTCAAAAATCAACTTTTAAATTATTATTTATCTAAATAAGCCGCTCAGAAAAAAAATTGAACACACTAATTATATAGTTGTTTTTATAAGTAGTCATTTATAGTAGTATAGTGAGAGCTATTATTATTATTATTATTATTATTATTATTATTATTATTATTATTATTGCTACTACTTCTACTACCATAATTATTAAGGGATTCATAAATAATTCAATACCACAAAAAACTCTGTTTATCATAAATTTCCTTAGTGTTAGTTAATAATGGTGGTTGTTGTCCGTCCATGTTACATTACTCTCTTCTATTTTCATAGTGAATGTGTTCCGACCAAAGTTAAGAACATGCAAAACAGTGATGACAACAAACCGTTTTCAGTTTGATGAAAATGGGGAATAAGTTTATCACTGATGTGATTATTTGTATCTATGTCAACACGTCAGTGTACATGGTCTTGTATGTGCGTGTGCGTATGCGTGTGTATGGATAGCCCCACTCACCCACTCACTCTCACATACACTAACAGACATGCATGCATACAGAGTGACTTAAAATAAAGTAGAGATAACATTAGAGAAGAAAGCACAGTTAATAATTATATACACACCCACAAAAGGTGATAAGAATAACCCTTCGTCTTTTTAACTAGTAGTATTTTAAGTAGTAGTAATAATACTAGAAGTAATAGTAGAAGTCGTAGTAGCAATGAGTAGTATTCAATGGTATGATTAACTGAAACATTGCACATTCTTTCCATGTGTGTATGTCTATCTTTCTTTATACCTAAAAGTTTACATAAAAAAGATTCACAAGTGTCACTAGTTTACTCTTTAACTCTCTAATCAGTAGGTCAGTTAGTTACTCAGTATGACACAACAAAACACCTGATCTACGCGTTGATCAGCTGAAGTTCTAGTAGGAAACTATCATCTGTACGTATCAATGATAATAGATAATAGTCCACTTGTTATATCCCTAATCGATCGACATTAGTCATTACATTCTGACTCAACGTAGTTAGACAATATAATAATCTGCACAGAATTCACATCACTGATGAGTTTGATTTCCTATTGCTGTTGTGGAGTCTCAGTCTTCAACTGAAAGCTCTTGTTTGAAATTTTTAGTCAGAGAAAATCTGATAGCGAATGGATTTTCTTGCTTTAGTGTTTTTATTCTTAATACGACCGAATTGTTACATTAGATTATAGTGTCATGAACGAACTACACTTAGATAAGATGGAATAAGTGATGTATTTACAGGACATTCAGTTTACTGGACAAAATGTGTACTGCTCGTCTCCAAAAGCCTATTTACGAAACGAGCGAATTCTCACTATCTTCTATCGTATGTTATGTAGTCTTCGAAACACATTGATAACGTCATACATTCGGATCGGACACTGTTTTACTCAGTAATAACTATTTCTGGGTGAGAATTTACTTCATACTACTTATAAGTCACATTGTTAGTAGTATCTAATACAATAGAAGTTCGAAACAATTGAATAGAAGAAACTAGCTTAGTTAAGTTTCTTTACAATATTCGCAGGTATCAATGATTAATTTACAAAGTATCTCAATCATATAGTCTCTCTCTCTATCTCTGTAAAGTCAATTATGATTACCAATAAACTTGGAAAAATAGGTAAGTAAGTGTACCATTTTAGTATTTGGCTTAATCATAAAACGGATTTTCCTCAATCAATTATTTCAGTTTTATTAGGATCATTCCGTCACAATTTGTTATGCTTAGATTTCTTTCATTACATTTGTCGTCTCGGGGTTCACACACAATATATTCGTGTGTGAATATATCATTATGGCTGCGAAACATGGCCGTCTGCTAACCAAAGAAAGTGTACTGCGTAGCAGTCCGCTCCATCCTAGTTTAAGGATACGAAACATGGACAGTCAGAGTAGAAGATATTCGTAGGTTGCTTGTTTTCGATCATAGGTGTCTTCGAAGCATTGCTCGTGTATCCAGAGACAACCGAGTAAGCAATACTGTTGTTAGGAAATGGGTCCTAGGTAAGGGTGGGAAATCAATAGATGAAGTATTGAAACTTCATCAGTTGAGATGGTTGGGACATGTGTTACGTATCTCTAACCATCGAATACATCAACGAGCGGTGTTTTATGGTGCAGGAGTATGTTGGAAGAAAGCTAGAGGCGGTCAAACCAAAACATGGCACAAATCTATCGAGTTACTGACAAGTGAACTGAGCCATATTAGTAGGTGTAGACTACCAGGTTTGTGGGTAGCGAGACAATCGTAACAGATGGTTAGAGATCTTGAATGACATGGTTCAACATCGTTAGAAATGGTGCAGGTGCATCCACTCTTAGTGTTCTCTCAAATCCTAATCCTCTGAATTCCTCATCACATTTATCTTTTTCTTTTAAGTTTATTTCACTAGACTATACTTGTTTAATAATATTGTCGAACCCTAAAATTTTTGATTACTACTAATAAGTCTATTACTTCTACTACTAGGGGATTTGAAGTGACAGTTATATTTCTGTGGTAATTTGGTATGACAACTTGAACTGATGTACGTACGTTGTTATTGTAGACTGACTGAATACAGTAAATTACTCATCGACAGGTTGATTTAAATGTTTCATAATTAAAATCCGTTTTAGCTGTTTATCATCGATTTGCAAATGATCAGTTAGTTATGAAACAGAATAATTAATCATAGAAAGGGTTTGTCTTTTCACCTTGTCGATGCTGAGGACTACAATTGATCAGTCTTTGTCTTCCCATGTGTATATTGAATAGACTCCCTTAATATAGATTTTGTGATACTAATCATTGGAACACTCATACTGCACCTTAATTGACGCAATTAACATTTCTAATTAAATTATTTAATTTTCATAAATTTTAAAACAAGAAATTTATAATTTCAAGAAAAATGAAGAGTTAGTAGGTGAATTGTGGACTGACTGGTGATTTTAAACTTTTGTAAATAGACAGTTAACCCACATGATACAAACGTATATAATGCTCGACACAAAGTCATGTGCAAATAGTTAAATTAATAGCTCTTCATTTAGAAAGTTGACACATATAACTGATGTGGTCATCATTGTTCAATAATTATTTTTAAGGCGTCAAAATGTCAATCACTATCTGGCAATAACTGATTTCAAAGAAAAGAACTTATTTATTTCTGAGAAATAATTTAAGACATTTTATCTACCTAATTGATTCAAACGATATTCTACGCAACTCTGTCTCTAACATAGTTCTAATAATTTAGACCAGTGTACAAATTGTTTAATACAAGTTCGAAAATGAATGATTGAATGTTTTCAAATGGAAATCATCTAAATTTGATTGAAAAAATTTAGTGGCACGAACCAAATGTTCCAAGTATGTTGTTATCCCACTAACACTGTTTTTTTATAGGTATGTAATTCAGAGAGCCAATCTGATATGCTTGAAACTATCACAAGTTCACCTTACTCGGTAAACGGGAGCGAAGCAATCATACAGTGATACGATATACTATTCTGATTCGATTGTCTCCGGCCCTTCTAACTATAACAAGAAGTTCTGATATGGCGTAGAAAGTGTGTTCTACAAACACCCAGAAAACACGAGGTTGATCAGAGCACAAATCGAGTTTATTTATACATCACAGAAACGTCCTTGGGAGAGCCACAAAAATAGCTTACCGAAATGATCTATCAGCCAATGACAGTCAAGGATTTTCTTGGTGGGAACTATAATTTCAAGGTCAACTGAGCTACCTATGCGTGAAAACACAAAAAATCCAAAATTAGGACACTTTACAAGTGAGTTCTGGGGATCTAATATCCCCAACACAGCTTACGTTCCTGGGGGCGAATTGCATCTTGACTGTTGCTCAGGATTTTGTGACCAGTAATACTAACACTAGAAAACTGAACAGGTTCACGACTGCATCATTGGAGATCAATCACTTGAAAAATTTGCATTGTATCGTATATAGCGTGTCCTATTGATATTTTCAAGTTCTTGCCAAGTAGCAGCTACGGTTCTAATGTCTGCCTCAAATTTCCAGTGCCATGTGATCTACCTCATTTTCTTATGCTGTGTGAATTACAAGTCAAACATCACTAGATTTTATCCTCTTATTTCCACAGCTTTTTGAATGACTCGGTTTTCCGCATTACCCAGACATTCTAAGTACCTAGACCTATTGTTGTTCTGGTTATCAGTTTAGTGTCTTTCGAGGAATCTTGGTTTTTAGCACGAGGCTTTATGATTATCCTATAAGATGAACTTTCAAATCCCAGAGCAGAGTTAAAATGGGTTAGCCAGTTCACCCTCGATCGGATTTTTAAACGAGGTTCTATTCTACGATATCGGGTTGCTAACTAACTCTAATACTCAACCATCCTTCTTCAATCGGGTTTGGGACTGGCAGTAACCATAGAGGCTCCATATACCATGCTAGATATATTCTACTTCCGCGTTATCAAGTAGCCAGAAGTAGTAGTCTTTGACCTTAAATAAATTTGGAAACTTATGTCAATAGTTCAACCTCACAAACAACCATTATTGAACAACAGCATTATAAGAGTAGCAAATCATCTATTAATCAACATTCTTTTCTATCGACTTGACAACTGAAAATCCAATCCACCAGAATCCCACTCCATGACAAGAACAAAATATTTACAAAATAGTTAAATAGAAATAAAAGAGAAATATATTTAGCACTAAACAAATAATACTCATGTACATCACATAGAAGATATATTTATAATGTTATTATCATTATTAATAATGCTGTGATTACAAGATTGATTTGTTTTTCCTGTAGGCCAAAATCAATCGGTTGGACTCAACGAGCCAACAACTATCATACGAAATTGATGACTTACAGGATATTTATAAATAAATATATATATATATTTCTAAACAGTAAAAGATTTCAATGTCATAATTTTAATCTTCACAAATAACCTGACTGATAGTGTTAGTTCATCAATCAGTAAAGAAGGATCTGTTGACAGGTGGATTAAATATTTCAACAATCAATAATAACTACAGTATATAAAAAAAACCGAAAGAAAATATGTTACGAAAATAAAGCCAAATATATATATATATATATATATATATATATATATATATATATATATTCAAAATTCATTCTGTTGTTAGTTTAATGAGTTTATAGTAACTTTATTTTCTTCTTTTCATTTACATGAAAAAAAATTATCACGAATAAACAATGGTTAATAGCCATCTTCTCTACTTTGATGTTGTAACCTGTGAAGAATGATCAATAGATGATTTTGAACAGTTTTTATCAGTTTTTAATTCTTCTGTAGGAATTGCTTTTGCCATTTGTTCATTATCAATCATTTCTAGAATACGTACAATTTCTTTACTAGATAGTTTCACATTCTCTGCACCCAGGAGTTCAATAACCTAAGGAAAAAAAAAAGTAATCAATGAAATACTTGACAAATTCATGGATTTAAAAAAGTTTGAACAACACTGTGGTAATCTGGAATCGGTCAAACGATTATTCCAGGTGACTGGAAAAAAAAAATACACATTTGACGAATGAGAAATATATTATGGGTGACAACCATGGGTTTACATATACTCCCGATCTAATTAACCAGTGAAAGCATCTTTCGTGGTATTCTCACTCATGTAGTTGCTTGATCTTGTATTTAACAAGCTTGTGTATCAGTACTGGAATCGAAAATAGAGTAAAACGAAAGTTTTCTGCTGATGAACTTTCAACTCTCAGTTAGTCAGTTGTAACTTAGGACTTGATACGTATGTACGAGTTTTCATAGGCGTTCACAGTATCAGGGGCGATAAAAACGATTGGGAATAGAGGATAAGATTCAAGAAAATATAAATTTTAAAAAGTTATAAGGCATTCAGAAGAAAAAGAAGAAGATATAGAGAGCTAATAAGAAGTCGTCCAACGAGAAGGTCATTTGATGACAAGGACATCGTTCATTATTACAAAAGACAAAGAACGGATATACCTTCATCATAGCAAATGATTTTCAGCCATCTCACTGAGTCTCTAACCAATGGTTACGATTATCACATGGACTCCAACCAGGAAGTCTGAAACGCTAGCTTTCTTTCAGGCTATTCCTACGCCACATAACATTGCTCGTCGAAGTATTCAGCGGTTGGGTATAAGTCACATATGTTGCAACCGCCTTGAATAATGATTTATCAATCGGTTTGCTATCTTTACCTAGTACTCCATTCTTAGCCCAGAATATGCGAGAACAGTTTAGAAGGCACTTATGATCAAATACCAGTAAACTATGGATATCCTCTGTTTTTAATGGCCATTTTTCACAACCCGAGAGTAGAACGGGGAGAAATACTGCATAATAAAGTCGTTCTTTGTTTAACGAATGATATCTCGTCTACGCTGTAAGTGACTGAAGCTGGCAAATGCCAACCGAGCCTTCTTTATCCTTACCAAGGTATCGTCAGACACCGGGCCACCAAAACTGATGTAGTAGTAGTAGTAGTAGCTTGAAATGCCCTTACTAATTTCCACAGCCTATAAAGAGAAAAATTATGTGGTTATAAAGAATCATGTCTATTCGATATGCTGATTCATTCATGTACTTACAATCATCCTCCTCTAATGTCAGTCTTTATTCTGCATGCTACTGTAAATAATTCTTCATTTCCAAAGATCTACTTTCTTTGTTCTCGCTGAGTGTTCATATTCATGAATAAGTTACATATTTATAGCACTTTAAAGGGAAATGTTTATATGAGACAGGATTACAATGACTATTTAGCAGAATACACTTACAGACAATATATGGTGTAACTCAATTTTCCCATCCTTATCTTCATCTAAAACTTTCAGGATCTTTTCCCAACGTGTATCACCCGGAATGTTTTGAATACGCTTCAAAGATGCCAACAAATCGTTAATATCTACCATACGATCCTGATCTGCTTTGATTTCATCCATTATTTTAGATCGCTCCTTGGCTTCAATTGATTCATTAATATGACTTTCACGAACCTATAAAATTGACATGAAGAAAAAAAAATAACATTAGCATTTGTACATTTGCGCTATATTAGAGAGCACAGTATTTATCATAAAGGTTAACGACATTAATCAATAAATCCAGAATCAATACACATGAAATAAGTAAATAGTATGATTTAAAGAAGAAATGAAAACTTTTCAACGTTACTCTAAAACCACTACAATCAATACACAACACAGTTATAGAGATCAAATGAATTGGTAAAATATTTGATGATTCAACAATAAGACGTAACAACGACAACCACAACTAAAATTTAGTATATACAGTAGAAAACAAATGTTTAAAAAATCATAAATTAATCGAATAGTTGTATACACCATCTAATCAACATTGACTCTATGAGATGACTGGTCTGATCTAGGAGATTGTTATACAGCTAAAAGTTTCTTTACAAGAGTATGGACCAAATTAATTTATATTTTAATTAATTGAACAATCAGTAAATCTTTATCAATGTTTCGATTAACTGAGTTGAATTCAACATTAAACACAATCCTAGTAATACACAGCATGTAAACTAAGAATATCCGACATAAATCAATCCAACACCGTAAGAAACCGGTACATACAACACAAACTGTGAGAACGAAGTTGTTACGTATGCAATGTAAACATATCATTTGAGATGCTTGAACTATTATGAGTTTACCTTAGTCGGAAAACGAGAGTGAGGATCAAGGATCCAGCGACACAATATGCTACTACTCTAATCCGTGTGTCCCAACCCCCGATTGGGTAAAAGATGAAGACTTGATATGAAGTAGGATCTGTATTCAACAAACATCTAGAAGGTACGAGGTCCGAGTCCAGAAGAAGGCGAGAATCCGGGTCATAAGACGTTACAGATAATGTGCATTTATACATTTAGGTCGAATAGGAAACAGCATGGAAGTGTCTGTGACCATTGACAGTTAAGGCGACCAATAGGGAAAAAACATTGATAGTTAGGATGAACATAATATTGACCTATAGGAATCGACCAATAGAATTTACACTTACAAAATGATTCTTTGTAGGATAAATAATTCAAACAAAAAAAAAACATATCCATTCTTACTTCAATATGTTTTAATAATTGAGTACGTTCATCGTTGAGTTTATCGACCATAGTATCCATTTCTTTAATTAACCGGTCCACACGAGATCCTAGACGTAAGGCAGCTTTTGATTTTCGTTTGTCTGTTACATTATCCGAAGCTACTAATTCAGCTTGACGTTGCTGTTGTAGTTTTGCAGTTTCTGCAACTTGTTCCTATTAAAACAAATACATACAAAATAATATTATACTATTCAGCAACTAACTTCAATGATACAATTATATGCTGCATCTGTATATGAATATTGATAAATACGAAACGTATATTTATCTTTTTTTATAGACTTAAACATTAAAATTGGTAATCAACTTATTCAACACTTTATGCTTATATTGTTTTGTGTTTATAATTATTTTCGTTGAATGATCGAGTGAATATACATACATGGTGGTACTAGTCGGAGATAAAATAAATCAAGGTTATCCAATGCCGAAAATATTATACTCAAACATCAACAAGGAATTTATTAACAACAACAACAAGTAATAATGAGATGTGTTAGTGCATTCACATCTACTGCATATCCTTGTATTGGATGCTACTCAGAAAGTGACTTATAAGTAGTATGCAGCAGAACGTCACCTGGAAGTTCCTACCAAAGAGCTAAGTATCTGGTGGTTGAATTACACGGTGTGATCTGAGTATAATGAAGACCAGAAAAGGTTTGAGAGAAGACAGTCAATAACCTATTTGGATTACAAATGGATTTTTGAAGATGATAAGTACATATTTCGTAAAAAAAAACTGTCTTCTCCAAATATGTATATTCCATCTGATCTTGACTCGGTCGTACAAAATTATCACCACAGACAAACTTTAAAAAAAAAAATACATTTTTGATGCTTACCTTTAATTCATCTATAGTTTTGTCGCCTAAATGAGGTGTGGACTCTGCAATAGCGGATTGAATTTCAGCTAGATCACCTGCAGATATTTCAGTTACCTCATCAGTATCTGCTGCTTTTGGTTTTCCAGGCTTTACAGATGAATCATCTTTTGATTGTTCAGTAACTAATGTTTGTACTGTATCGATAGGTTGCACATTCTGAACAAGTGTATGAATCAATATTTAAATGTAAATAATGACAGAAGAATGATGAATAATTAAAGCAGGAAGACATTAAATGTGTTTCATGTTTTATGCACTGTCTATCTATTTGTTATAAACAGTAAATATTATGTATCTCAAGAAAAAACTGCATATCTACGATATAGTTTACTTTATTTTGAATAGTATTCAATCCATGATAAAAACCTATCAATAACTTTTAACAAGCTATTCGCAGTTTCTCGAAATCTAGTTAGAATACAGTTGCATTTTTTTTTGAAAGCTACAATTTTTCACCTTTACGCAAATTACCCTCCACTTTTCTATCTTTATCCTAGTTAAACAATAGCAATGTATCAGTTCAAAACGTAATTATTTTAACAATACATACAACATGTTGAAGTGCAGAAATAAAAGATCAATTATAACTTACAGTTTACAGAAACTATCTGTTCTTTCGACAGATGCCTTCATAAGGAATAATCACTTAAACACAAAACTACCAGTCAGTGGACTGGGAACACTACCTATATATATATATATATATATATTAATCTATACCTGGTTTGCTTTTAACAACAAAATATAGAAGTAATGGAACTCGTCGCTAAATGTATATAAACCTTTTTAAATATGAATAAGCATTTGATAATGTGGATAGGCGAACCTTATGGAGCTACCTTCGATACTATGGTGTACCTGAGAACATTTTAACTTATATGGAATTCTTACGACGGATTACACTAGAAAGTCGTGCATGAAGAGAAGCTCAAAAATAGATTTCCAAGTCAAAACCGGTCCAAACAAGGCTGTTAACGTTTGCTATTTCTTTCTTCTGGTTATTAATTGGATTATGAAGACCTCCACATCCCAGGAGAAGCACAGAATACATTTGACAGCTTGGATGCAGCTAAACGATTTAGACTTCACATGTAACCTAACTTTTCTAGCCTACATACAGTAACAACTGCAGGTAAATATGGCCAGTGTAACAACAGCCTCCACAGCAATAGGCCTGAACACAGCAAGCACAAACCAAATCACAGTGAAAGGAAAAGCTCTGGATGAGGTGGGAACTTTTACGAAGCTGGATAGAAACATTGGCAAACAGGGGGGATCTGATGAAGATGTAAAGACACAGATTGGGAAAGCAAGGGTAACATTACCACAACTGAAGAACATCTGGAATTTGAAGTAACTATTAGCCAACACCAAAGTTCTATTGTCTATAGCTGAAACTTTGGAGAGATACTACAACCATCATAAGAAAAATACGAGTATCTATAAACAACTGTTTGGATTTCACAGTAAACATCCAGTGCTTGAGCTACTGCTAAGACGAACTGATTTCATTCAAATAGTGATTAATGAACGTAATTTGTTGCCTTAGATCCGTTGGCGACACACGATCAGCAACAACCTACTGTTGAAAAGGACAAACCAGCTCCGAAATGACAGATTTAGAAAAATCGCCAGATAGGACACATTGTGGAAATCACCAGACCGAAACACAAGACAAGGCCTAACAGAACACATCGAGCCAGGAATTGCAAGTAAATATCAGAAGAATGAATAGCAGTTATGAATAATCGGAGAGGAGAGTTCAGAACAGAGTTGGTTAGAGAATCTTAGTCAGACGCGTATGCTCTGCGAGGGGTAATAGGTGTAAGTAAGTATTTTATACATGAGTGGATTCTCACTTAATTTACTGAGTTGCTTTGTACGCCGGTTCCCAAATCATTTATACTTAACACACAACTATTTATACGAATATGCAAAGAACAAGTAATGCAATTTTGAAAATATGTTCAGTCAAAGAATAAACGGTAAGTTAAATGAGGTCCATATTTTAATAATAAAGTTAAAACAGCTATAATGTTATTACTTCTAATACTCGCAGATTTGTCTTCATAGTTTTATTTTACGGTGCTAATATAATGGAGTGGCTTGAACTAACACTAGCGTGTATCAGGCTCGAATGACAGGAGAATAAATAATGAAAAAGTCTGGATCATAATGATAGTCTTCAAATATTTTCACATCAATCTAATCATATCAGTAAATTAGTGTGCATGCTGTTTATTTTCAGAACATACTACTGTCATGAACTACGATTACACTAATAAGGTGTCGGTTAAGATACGATGTCTTCGCTTACATTCCAGAATAATTTTCAGGATCAAACGTTTTACGTCAATAAGCATTAAGTTTTGGTTGCTAGTGATAATAATAATAATAGTAAGTGAAGCAACAGGCTTACTTCATGTTGTATTCCCGTAGTTTCGGATATATGAACAGCTGAGTCAGTTAGGACAGGTGTAACTTTGTCAAGTTCTATATCAACAAAAAAATATAAAATTTCATTGAAATATAAATAAATTTAACAGATGAATAGTTTGTTCCCGAATTACTTGCAAAAATGAACCCTTACACAGATCTCTAATCCACAATAAGTGTTGCTATGATATAGTGATTAGCCTAGATTTGATCATAATGAGCTCAAACTACTTTAAACCTGATATGAACAGTAATTGAGACTAGTATTTTCTTGTTACGAACAACTGAGAGATTCCATTATATGAGACGAAATATGGCTGTCATTTTACAAATGAAAGTCATCTTATACGAATTGATTTGGGAAACTTGAGTATACGTTCTTTTAAATTTGTTGTCCACATTCTCTTCCTACTTCCCTTTTATTGTGTATTGATTCATACTACTTATTTATATTCAGTAAATAATTTTATATTTAATAATTTCTAAGCATAAAATGGTAACGCCAATTGTATTTGTGATGTGCTGAAGTATTGACATAAACTAATAATGAGTACTATATTCATGAATATAATCGTTACACATGCACGTAAACATGTCAACTGATATGCTTGAACTATTATGAGTTTACCTTAGTCGCAAAACGAGAGTGAGGATAGAGGATCCAGCGACACAACATGCTACTACTCTAATCCGAGTTTTCCGACGCCCATTGGATAAAAGAAGAAGACTTGATATGAAGTAGGACCTGTATTCTACAAACATCTAGAAAGTACGAGGTCCGAGTCCAGAAGAGAATCAGGATCCCGGATTAGGGATCCGGGTCCTAGAACGTTACAGATAATGTGTATTTATACATTTAAGTTGAATAGGAAACAGCATCGAAGTCTGTGATATTGAAATTCAGGACGACCAAAAAGAAACAACGTTGGAGTACGTGACACTGATATCTAGGACGATCATAAAATTGACCATTAGAAATTAACCAATAGGAATCGACCAATAATTCTCTTAGGATATTGGATGAATATCCTAACAACAATTACCTTTCTTTCAACTCTTGTAACAGTCATACCCTGTTGTATACGTCCCCTGAATTTATGTTTGAACACAACAAGTTTCATATTTGTTTACTCCTACTCCCAATTTGGTTGTCGATAAACTACAGTTAACATTAGACACAACCATCAGCTGTCATTTCCACTATCGAAGCCCTTTTAGTTACGGGTATTCAGAAGCGTTAATTGTTTTATAAACCTCATGCGTTGAATTTTGTACCCAATTTATGTTTATTCATTAATAAAAGAACTTTTCTATGGACAAATCGCTGAACTTCGAATTTACGCGAATCTCAGTCGTGTTGTTAGACAATTCGATAAATCTAACATTCAGTGACCATATACAATTGGCCGCTTGAACCAGAATTAGGATATGTTAAATACTCATCAAATGAAAAAAAAAACTGGAAAAAGTCGATTTCTTGTATTTAGTTAATCAGCCCACATTTCATGAAATACATGACTACACTAAAAAGTTGATGAGATTTTACAATAAAAACACTTAGAACAGGATAATTATGTTAGCCAAACATACAATTGTTAAAGTTCAGCTAACAAATAACATCTAAAAACTTCGTGTATTTTTAACCCCTTTTCACTTAGCTGCAGACAATTATCTTCAAAGTCAGATAATTATCTGCTTTTAAAACGTCAACCATCAAATAATCCAACAGTAAATACAAACAAACAATAATTGTGATTAGTAAAATTAAAAATTATCCGTCAGTCTAATGATTTTACATAAGTAATCAGTTTTAGATACAGAAACTACCAACTTAATCTTTTCCAGTTGCGACTGTTACTTTGAGAATAGAGATAAGTAATTAAAATAATATTTTATTTTATTCCAGAAGATACTTTTAAAGGCTAGTCAGATTGTTACCCAATACTTTAATATTCATTGGTTACGCAAATAATAAGTGAACAGTAGCAGATGAATAGAACCAATCATAACATGTTTGCCTAGAATACGTGGATAGTGATTAGCAGCAGAATCCAGAACGCACCTTTGGTCCTATTCGGGACTCGTTAGCTAGATGTACGTGCATCTCAGATTTGATATTTACTGCAGGACTGGATCATAGTATCATTTCAAATTAAACTAACACGCATAACCATTGCACAAGCTAGTGGCTACCTGGATTCAGCAGATAAGTATATAACGTGATAGCGTTTGGAGAGAACAGTACAGGGTTCGAGTCTCGAAGTAAACATCAACTCTGAAATGCAGGTAGGAACAAAAAAGCATCCTGGATTCTACTGATAGCTACATTCTATGTAAACTCGTATCATAATAGTTATATTAGGGAAATTCACATAGAATGACCAAATAACAAGCAAGAATGACTAAATTTGAGTCAAAAAACACCAACAGCAGGATGACCCAAACTATTTAAGATTGAACTAGTTATTGCATGTTCAGATAATTTGTATTTTTCTCACTCAACGTCACGACAAGTTCCGTCAGAGCACAGTGAGATAAACAAAGTAATCCCAGGAGACTCTATTCTCATTTACAGCGTAACAGGGTAACTGGATTATTTGACATCGCAGTTTCCCTTTTAGGTTTTACAAACGCTATTTGATTATGTTTACACAATTCTGGGTATATCAGATATATTTTTCCTTAATACGTTAAATTTATTCGTCAGTGATGTTCAGAAATCTCTAATGTATTGGTAGGACGAATAGTCAACCACCAGTCAGTCGGTTATATCCAACATAAAGCCTGGCATATGTACTGAGTCGTCACAAGTAGCGACACTAAACTAGCACAGCAAGATGACATTGTCGAAAAAGATCCCTGAATATTAGAAGTAATAGACTGGTACTGCAAAGAATAAGAATAGTCCACTGACCCTTTTTAGATGCCCTTGTATAACCAGAGGTTTATAGCTACTACCAGGGAAGTCCTACTCATTGCTTTCGCGCAGCGAGTATTGTCGAAAGATGTGAAAAAATCCGAACACCTTTCGCGAGAACTGTTTTGGCGGATACAGAGGATCCACCTAGAGTTATCAGACAACCATGATTCCAAACCCATGGTGCGAATAGGTTCCAGGAAAATTGTAATACAGCAAAATAGTTTAGCTTCACTTTACTCCACTTTCCTACGATTCTTCTAAATTGTTCACTTTGATTTTTCTACTCAATAACCAGATAATCTATGATGAAAGTTATGCCCTGTCAAAATGAACTTCAACCACCGACTGTCCAAAATTCTGATTGCTGGCACCGAATAAGGAATCTAAATCATCTCCCCTGAAACCATGGGTGCCATTCAAAATGTTGAATAAGACTGTAGTCTGTTGAAGAGCATGTCTGAAAAGTTCATTAATATCTTAAAGGCTTTGTACAAAAACACCTCACGTTGAGAGAGAATACACTATTTTTGTTTTTAGTGAATAGTACTAGTGTTGCTAGGTTATAAACAACTGAGCAGAATCCACGAAATATATGAATTCTGCTAAGAACTTAGTTCGAACTTACAAATGGGGAAAATTATATGAAATCAATTCTATTGAATAACTCGTCCATTAGACATAATTGACTGTAAGCCGCACTCCACGTGTGAGAGCTAGTGATAACACACCCGGATGCCCAAAGAGAGGGAGATGAAGTGGGGTTTCGGATCATTTAGTTTGGGCCAAACAAATTCATCTCGATTTTTAAATCTAAACTGAGGTAGAAATATGTCACTAAGTAATAACAATAAAGAGACCTTTTGAGAGTGAGTATAGATTGATTTAGATAAGTGATGATGAATAATGAAAGAACATTGAGGGTATTTCTGGAATCTAACGAGTAAATTCTATTTAAAAGAGAAATTTTACAGGTCGGATCAGTCTTATAAAGAAATGGTATCTTACCTTCATTTTTAAGACCTTTTAACAATGGAGCTTGGTCACTTTCTGGTGATCCAGTAGTAACAGTTTTAATTTGTTCAGATTTTTGCTTTTCAACCAACTCTTGTTTACGCTGTACTCGTTCAGCTTTAATACTGTCTTGTTCTTCACGTAACACTTTGATTTTGGTAACAGGATCAAGTTTATCATGAGGCGTAGCTTCTAAAACGCGAGCAACTGCCTCTGATGAAGCTGACGGAGGTAATTGAGCAATAGCCTAATAAAGTTGAATGCAATTTACATGCAGTGAAGTTATCAAACCAAGATTAGAAAAATACAGATAAAATATGTTGGAAAATCTATGAAACTATCAACAACTCTGCTTATATACTTGAAATAAATGTACATTTGACTAATGAAAATAGCTGTAAGAAGATACACATAGTCAGAGAACTTTAAGCATAACTTTCCCGACCTTAGCTGCTACCTTGACGTGGTGGTCGGACTTGCCTATCCTGATGACTCAACCGAGCCAATATTGGCTGGAACATATGTAGGTTCTATCATGCCAGGCAAGTCAATTGGAGAACGGTGGGACTAAAAGCAGCTACTCAAGGTCTGAGGGCCAAGCCATACTGTTGACTGCAGAGGGGTGTGACAGCAGTAAGGTGTTCCCATCGGACAACCAGCATCTGCAGCGATGCTTCCTTCTCGCAAGGGAGGGAGTGGTTAGAAAAGGTCGACCCTAAAATTGCCACAACTCACCTTAGAACTCGGCTTTCCGTCTGCGGAGGTGAGGTTACTCAAAGAGCGGAGCTAACACTTAGAAAAATTCCCATAAAAGGTCGTACGTGACCGGCCTCAAGCAGTTGTCCTTTGGGCTCTGCGACCACGCTCCTAGGTCTCTAAGACCAACGCTAACCCAATTTCCTTTTCAGGTTCCCCAGGAGGTACTTCCATGATGTGGGCAGTCGGGACGTGACATCCGCCATTATACCAGTAAAAGCACACGAGAACAAATAGGTCACAATCAAATCTTTACTATACCTCCTAATAACTCTCTTATCTCCACGACTAATCCTTCTTTCGTCTATTTATCACCTCGCGCCGCTGAAGCGAACGTTTCAAGGTCACGAAAGGTTATTCCTGGTCTTCCGAAACCCCGCTCTAGATTACATACTAGAGCTTTCAATGTTCGAACCCTGTGTCAAATAGGGGAATAGGCTTCATTAACTAGGACTTTCGAATCTCGCGCCATCGATGTGTGCTGCGTCTCGGAAACGCGCATACAGGATCCTAGTAAGATCATGAAGTTGATTTCACCTTGTCAAAATAAAGAACCAACTCGATTTACTCGTCGTGAATCTGGAAGCCCAGATGCTGTTTCCCATGGCCTCGCTGGTGGAGGTATAGTATTAAGTCCTGGGGCAGAACTAGTTCTCCTAGACTGGATAGCGGTAGATAGTCGCTTATGCGCTATCCGACTGAACGGGACGGTAAGGACTCGGAAAGATAGGAAAACTTACCGTTGTCTCTGCCCACGTTCCCACTGACTGCAGTTCAGACGAGGTAAAAGATGAGTTTTACAAAAACCTCTTTCACCTTTAAAAAGTTAAGCGCTCTGATATAGTAAAAGTGGCTGGTGACTTCAATGCTTAAGTAGGTAGACTAAGTGAAAAGGAGAGACACCTGGGAGGACCTTATGGTGTCGCGGCTCAGAGAACGGACAATGACGACCGTCTGTTGCAACTGTGCTCAGATAACCGCCTATTTCTAGCAAACACTAATTTTAGGCATACGGAAAAACATCTTTTACCCTGGCGACCATAAAAGTCGTCACAACGTTAGACCCAACCAGATCACATCGCAATAAGCCATCGGTAGAGAGGCTCTGTTGAAGACTGCCACTCATTCTGAAGCACTTGTTTAGACTCAGGTCATGCTCTAGTGCGAGCGCGTATTTGTTTGCGCATCGATGGACCCAAGCAAAATATCGCAAGGAAACCTCTTAGGGCTCTACTTAATGATGATAAAGCTAAGAATATATTTCAGGAGCAACTAGAAAGACAGTTGGGTGACCGTGTAAGTGATTCCCATCCGGAAGCAGCTTGGAATGAAAGGCAAACCATAAGGTTAGGGAGAAGCCGTGGATTTCAGTAGCATCTATCGAATTGATGGATGCTCGGAAACTCGTCCCGTCTGGCTCTGAGTACGATGAGAAGCGGAGTCAGCTTGGGCTCAGGCTGACGAAAATCCTATGCAATGATCGAGAACAGTGGTGGGTGGAGAAAGAGAGAGATGGAAAAGGCAGCGGCGATAGGCAACAGTAGGCAACTATTTAGACTCATCAAGGAAACTGGTATTAGGAATCCAAATGTGTGAGACCATCTCGGAAAAGGATGGTCTTATTATTGGTTCTCAATCCAGGAGACTGGACTGATGGGCAGAACACTTTAGGGACCAGTACAATTGGCCTTCAGCCACACTAAGGTTGCCCACAATGTCCAGTCAACCAAAATGGTAAATCGACTTAAGTCCTCCGACTCTTAATGAAGTTGAGAAAGCTATAGGAAATCTAAAGCGAGGTAGAGCAGCAGGTCTTGATATGCTAACTCCTGAAACTTTTAAGGATGATGGTTCAACTTTAGCAGCTAGATTGACTGAGATCTTAGGTAGAATCTGAGAACTGGGCGTAATCACACCTGACTGGTCTCAATCCCTGATTGTCCCAATTTATAAGGAAGGACAGAAATCCTCTTGTGACAACCACAGAGGAATAAGTTTGACTAATATAGTGTCGAAATTATTAACCTCGATAGTACTTCGAAGACTAACTAGAGCTCGTGAAAAGCAGACTCGAGAAAACCAGGCTGGTTTCAGGCCTGGACGTGGCTGTATAGACCACATTTTGACACTAAGTCAGGTCTTAGAACAAAGTCACACGTTCAGGCGCCCCACAATCGTTAGTATTTCTCGACCCTAAAGCGGCATTCGACTCTGTCGATTGTGAGGTTCTATGGCAGTGTCTGTTATTGATAGGTGTTCCAGAGAAATACTCCGACACTACTGATCGAATGAGAGGTTATGGCGTACTGTCATCAGAATTGGTTACTTCAAGCGGTTTCCGTCAGGGCTGTCAACTCTCCCCATTCTTGTTTAACTTTGTCATAGACAGGCTTTTCAAGATAACAATATATTTGTCTGAATTTTTGGGAGTGGAACTTCTACCATGAGACTCGCTTGTTGACTTAGAATATGCCGATGGCAGCTCTACTTGATGAAGACTCTGACAAAATGCAGTCTTCAGAGCACCTTATGCAACAATGCAGCCATGTTCCGGATGCGATTATCCCCGCCGAAATGCAAAATGTTGCTTTGGGATTGGTTTGTATCGGCACCTGAACTACTAATAGGGAATGAAGTAGTTGAGCGTGTTAACCGCTTCAATCATCTCGAAATTCTCATCAGTACTGATGGCCTCGTATGTGACGAAATCTCAGCACGGATACAGAGGGCTCGATTGGCTTTTGCCAACCTGCGTCACTTGTGATGTAGGCGAGATAGTCGTCTGTTAATCAAAGGACGAGTGTGACGCGCAGCAGTCCGCTCCGTTCTACTTTATGGCTGTGAAACATGGCCAGTGAGAGTAGAAGATATCCGTATGTTACTGGTTCTCGATCACAGTTGTCTCCAAAGCATTCCTCGTATTTCGTGAGAAAACCGTGTGAGCAATGCGACTGTTAAGAAACGAGTATGAGGTAAGGATTGTAAATCAATGGATCAAGTATTAAAACTTCATCAGTTGAGGTGGTTGGGACATGTGTTACGTATGCCCGATCAGCGACTGCCTTGATGAGCTATGTTTTGTGGTGTAGGAATAGGTTGGAAGAAAGCTAGGGGCGGTCAAACCAAAACATGACAGAAATCCATGAAGTCACTGACGAGTGGACTGAGCCTTGTTGGTAGGTGGAGACTACCTGATTGGGGTCCGCGAGACGAAATTCACCCCAAAGGTTTGAGACCTTTACGACATGACTCAAAACCGTTTGCAATGACACAGATTTATCTATTCTTTGGTTTCTCTCAAATCCTAATCCTCTAGGTTCTTCATCACCTTTATCTTTCTCTTTTTAAGTTTATTTCAACAGATTTTACTTCTTGAATAACATCATCGGGCCTTAATCTCTCCGACTACTGCTAATACTTCTACTACCTCTACTACTATGGGATTTGAATTGACAATTGCGTTTCTGTGCTAATGTGGTGTGGCAAATTGAACTGATGTACGTACGTACGAAGTTCTACGCTGTAACTGACTTACTGACCGACTGAAGCATAACTCCGTCGCCATGGTGTCGATTACCTATAATATCCATCAACAGTCTAGTACACTTCGAGATAACTTAGCTCATGTGTAATAAGAATTGTTTGTTCAAAACAGTGAACAAATAAAAAGTTATCACAGTTGACAACAGAAAGTTTTACAGCCATCAATTTTTAATCGTATCTCTAAAAAATGTATACAGTACATATGCAGTTTGTATGTCCGCATCTGAATATTTAACGAAAGCTGAATCGTTGAACTATATAAAAATTCGTTATGTTACGTGGGGACTAAAACAAATAGAAACATATTGATGTAAAACGTCACGTAACAATGTTTTCTACTATTTTGGTCTAATTTTTAATGAAATAGTTTCAGTCGGATGTTTAAATGACAAAACGACTCAAGTATATGGAAAAGTATACAGTCCACTCGATACTGAGTCAAAATGAATATGAAACAGAGCACGTACTTGTTGCAAAGGATTTTTATCTACTAGAGCCTGAGTCACGTGCAGTGCACGAGAGAATAATAGAAGAGTGGTGGGCACATTCTTTTCTAAATGTAAATCAAGCCATTCACTAAGCTGTGATTGCAGTTTTTCTGTTGATAAACCAGCTGAACGCATTCCACGTTCCTGACATAAATTTTGCAACTCCCACGGTGGTATTTGATCAACACCTTCTTTCGCTATCAGCTACAATACGAAATAAGTAATAAAAAACTGGTAAATTCATGGACAAAAGATACATATCTAAATCCGATTAAAATAAAGTGTAGTGAGACATAGAATGAGTAGTTTTGACGGCATGGACCAACCAATTATGCATATAAAACTTTCTGCAAGATAATTTAGGTTCCAAACCAACAGATTTCCGAAAAATTTCAGCTGAATTTACATTACATAACGTATGAGTGGGCTTCAACAGTAACATGTAACCAGTAATCAACGTAACAATACTAACATGATATTAACTTATGTGAAAGGTCGCTTAGATTGATGATGGCTGTGTGCAAATAACCATGCAGTCGAGTAGTGATTTAGTGGTTAGGGCGCTCGATCACCAAATCCCGGGCTTGAACCTCGCCCTGCTTGCTTCGGTTAAGACAACCGGGTAGTATCGTTAGTCCTTACATTTTGAGTGGCTCGTAGCCTAGTTTGCTGAGGTGAATGAGTCAGTTTAACTCGATATGAATCTACCCTTAGTCACTGGCCACCACGGGATTGCACATAATAACGTTGACCTATTGACTTTTGGATCAGACCTGTAGGTAAAAGGCTCCAGAAGTGGCTCCCAAGAAAACCACCTACTTCGGTTCTGAAATCCCGGAGATATTCCAACCTAAATGCAAGTCCTATGATTTAGGTGGGGCGCATATTATGGTGCCCCTTTGCACTGATATTTATGTTTAAATAAGTGGACTCGACATAATTAATAATTACGCAGCCACGTGGCAACAGGTTAAACAGGAGAACAGGTTGAATCACATAAACATACGAAAGCTAATTATTCTGTCTCTATTTCTACTTTCTCCGTATATTTTTAACTATTCTTGATTTTAACAACATAATGGTATTGGAGCCTGCTTTCTCACCATATTCTGAATATTTGTGAAACTGCAGCATTTACTTACACTCGCATTGTCAATGTATGACGTATTTACGTAGAGGTCATTTTCTTCCAGTCAGACCCCAATTTATGGTGTTCCGTTAACTGTGTACCTTAGTAGGTCAAGTCTCAGTATTACCATGAATTTACCAGGGAATATTTAAGAGCCAGTCCGCTAGTTGTTGGGATAGTGAGTACTGTCAACAAAATTTGAAGTGCAGACATGCGCTCAAACAGAGTTACACAATTGTGTACATAGTTACGGAAATTTGGCGGTAAAAATATGACAGGCTTTTGTCCTCTTGCATGTGACCTGGCGAAATAGGTAGTATAAGTAAGTTGATAAAGACCAATTGCATTTACCCTCCCGAACTATCTAGGTCCTTTTCTTAGAAATCAGATTTAAATCTACAAAGTCAGTCAGTCAGTCAGATGCAACGTAGAACTTTGTACGTAAGTACATCAGTTCATGTCGCCATACCACATCAGCACAGAGATGTAATTGTCAATTCAAATCCAATAGAAGAAGAGTTAGTAAGGGAATTAGAAGTAATCGGAGAGGTTATGGTTAGAAGATATTATTCAAGAAGTATGATTAAATGAGAAAAGTTTAGAAAGTCAAAACTAGAGGTGTTGAAGAATCCAGATTAGGATTTGAGAGAACACAGAGAATAAATGCACCGGCGCCATTGCGAACAATTTTGAGCCATGTCATTCAAGGTTTCTAACCATCGATTATTATAATCTCGCGGACCCCAATCAGGTAGTCGACAACTACCGACATGGCTCAGTCCACTCGTCAATGATTTCATGGATTTCTGTCATGTTTTGGTTTGACCGGCCCTAGCTTTCTTCCAACCTATTCCTACACCACAATATATAGCTCATCGAGGCAGTCGCTGATCGGGCATACGTAACACATTTCCCAACCACCTCAACTGATGAAGTTTCAGCACTTCATCTATTGACCTGCCATTCTTACCTAGCACCCGTTTCCTAATAACAGCGTTGCTCACTCGGGTGTCCCACGATATACGAGCAATGCTTCGAAGACACCTATGATCGAAAACCAGTAACATACGGATATCTTATACTCTGACTAGCCATGTTTCACAGCCATAAAGTAAGACGGAGCGAACTACTGCGTAGTACACTCGTCCTTTAGTCAGCAAACGGATATCTCGCCTACGCCATAAGTGACGCAGGTTGGCAAAAGCCAATCGAGCCTTCTGTATCCGTGCTGAGATTTCGTCAGTCACCAGGCCATCAGCACTGATGAGACTCCCAAGATAAGTGAAGCGGTCTACACGTTCGACTACTTCACTCCCTATCACTAGTTCAGGTGCCGACGAAACCCAGTCTTGAAGCAACATTTTGCATTTCGAGGGGGAAAACTGCATCCCGAACATGCTTGCATTGTTGCTTAGGGTATTCAGAAGACTCTGCATTTTGTCAACGTCTTCACCAAGTAGGACAATGTCATCCGCATATTCTAAGTCGATAAGCGATCCAGCAGGTAAAAGGTCTACTCCTGAAAATTCAGACGAGGATAAGGTTATTTCTAGGAGCATGTCTATGATAAAATTAAACAAGAATGGAGAAAGTGGACATCCCTGACGGACACCACTTGAAGTGAAGAATGCCGGTGACAGTTCGCCATAAGCTCTCACTCGACCAGTGGTGTTCGAGTAGAGAGCTTGTATGAGGTTGATTTACTTCTTTGGTACACCTTTCAATGACAGACACTGCCACAGAACCTCACGATCCACTGAGTCAAATGCCGCTTTTAGGTCCAGGAAAACAACTATTGTAGGACGCCTAAATGTGTGTCTGTGTTCCAGGACCTGTCGTAGTGTGAAGATGTGGTCTATACAGCCACGTCCAGGTTGAAAACCAGATTGGTTTTCTCGAGTTTGCTCTTCACGAGCTTTCGTTAAGCGTCGAAGTATTACTGAGGCCAATATTTTAGATACTATATTAGTTAGACTTATTCCCCTGTAATTGTCACAAGAAGACTTCTGTCCTTTCTTATAGATTGGGACAATCAGGGATTGAGACCAGTCAGATGGGATTACGTCCAGTTCCCAGATTCTACCTAAGATCTCAGTCAACCTAGCTGCTAAAACTGGACCACCATCCTTAAATATCTCAGGGGTAAGTCTATCAGGACCCACAGCTCGCCCTCACTTCAGATTTCCTAACGCTTTTTCAATTTCATTAAGACTAGGCGGACTTACGTCGATTTGCCATTCAGGATGACTGGAGATCGTGGGTAACCGAAGAGTGGATCGAGGCCAGTTGAACTGATCCCTAAAGTGTTCTGCCCATCGATCCAGTCTCCTGGATTGAGAATAAATAATAGTCCCGTCATTTTCTGATATAGTCTCACTTACACTAGGATTCCTAATACCAGTTTCCTTGATAAGTAGGAAAAGTTGTCTACTGTTGCCGATCGCCGCTGCCTTTTCCATCGCTTTTGCTTTCGCCACCCACCACTGTTCGCGGTCGTTACGTAGGCTTTTTATAAGTCTGCGCCTAAGTTGACTTCGTTCTTCATCTGTTCAGAGCCAGGTGAGATGAGTTTTCGGGCATCCATCTGATCGGTGGATGCTACTGAGATCCACGGCTTCATTTTAGCCTTATGGTTTGCCTTACTAGAAGATATCACTGCTGTTTCCACAACCTTTTTGATATCATTCCAACCTGCCTCCGGATGGGAATCGCTTAAATGGTCGCCTAACTGTCTTTCTAGTTGTTCCTGAAATATATTTTTCGCCCTATTATTATTAAGTAAAACCCTAAGAGGCTTTCTTACGGTGTCTTTCCAACGTCCAGTAAGCTTCAAACAAATACGCGCTCACACTAGGGCATGATCTGAATCCAAACATGTGCCCCAGAACGAGCGACAGTTTTCTATCGAACCCCTCCATCGGTGGCTGATGGCGATATGATCTAGTTGCGTCCAACGTTGAGACGACTTTGGAGGTCGCCAGGTCAACAGATGTTTTTCCTTATGCCTAAAGTTAGTGTTTGCTAAGAATAGGCGGTTGTCTGAGAATACTTGCAACAGACGGTCACCATTGTCTGTTCTCTGAGCCGCAACACCATAACATCCACCTAGGTGTCTTTCATTTTCACTTAGTCTACCTACTTGAGCATTAAAGTCACTAGCCATTAATACTATATCAGAGCGCCTAGCGTTTTGGGGGAGGTCCGAAAGCTTCCTGTAAAACTCATCTTTTACATCGTCTGAACTGCAGTCAGTGGGGGCATAGGCAGATACGACGAAGAGGCAACGGCGAGTGTCCCTATCTTTCCGATTCCTTACTGTCCCCTTTAGTCGGACAGCACACAAGCGACTATCTACTGGGATCCAGTCTAGGAGAGATTGTTTAGCCCTAGGACTCAATGCCATACCTACACCAGCGAGACCCCTGGAAGCAGCATCAGGGCTTCCAGATACACGAAGAGTAAATCGAGCTGCTTCTTTATTTCGACAAGGTGAAATCAGATTAATAATTTTACTAGGATCCTGTATGCGCGTTTCCGAGACGCAACATACATCGATGGCACGAGATTCCAAAGTCCTAGCTAATGATGCCTGTTGCCCTATTTGACACAATGTCCGTACATTAAAAGCCCCAACATGTAGTATAGAACGGGGTTTCAGGAGACCAGAAATAACGTTTCGTGAGCTCGCATCGTTTGCATTAGCTGTGCAGTGTGATAAAGGAATGTGAGAAGAGTTAGTCGTGGAGATAAGAGAGGTGTGTGTTGGTGTAGGAAGGATTTGATTTCGACCTATTTGCTCTCGTGTGCTGTTACGGGTATGAGGGGGCGGTTGTCACTTCCCGGCTGCCCACACCGTGTAAGGTTGTTTCTAGAGGAACCTGAAAAGGAAGGTATATTAGCGTTGGTCTTAGAGACCTGGGTGCGTGACCGCAGAGCCCAAGGGACAACTGCTTGAGGCCGGTCACGCACGGAGATCTACAAAGTATCAAAGCACAGATTCTTATCCATATTCGAGTGGCCCATTATGTAAGGATAATTGGTACCACCAGATTTCTCAAGCTGAAATGTATGAAGTCCAACTAAAATTTGTTGTCGAGTTGAATACTGAATATACACATCAGTGATCCACAGCTATACTAGTGCTGACATTTACTCTAGACATAGCATGAACCATTTTGGCAAAATATGTATCTCTTTGTCTTATTGATAGCTTAATACCGATAAGGCTAAAACTAACAGTCAGTTAACTACTTCAATCTGTGATCACAAACCCGGAAAAGAATGACTTCCATATTTCAAACGAATTACACAGTCAACAAATCTCATCATATATATACATGAATTTCACGTTAAACAACTGATTTATTCCAATGCTAAAAATGCATCATCAAAAAACTCCATTACTTTGTCTTCTGCTTTCAACTGTCTAACACGCATCCAGATTTGAAATCTTAGTATACGACTAGTACCAAGAGTTGGAAGAGAAAGAAGTTTACATAGCATTCTAAGCTGTTTAATGTCCAAAGAGTCCAATGTCACTCGATCCTCGAAAAGTTTGGAAAATCTAGTAATATCTTTAGCATGAGCCTGTTCACCCGATTTCTGTACCTACATTAGGGAGGACAAAAAAGTACACAATATTCGCAAAAACTTAAGTTTGTAAACTAATCAGTTACAAAGAACTGTAGTTTAAAATACCTCCAGTACAATAAATTCGAATAAGAAGTTGGAAAAAGATTCAACATATTCAAATAACCCATAACACGACGTTGTTTATAGAGGAAATGTCCACATTTTTCTTAACACAGCTACTCTTTCATTCTGTAGATAATGATGAGTGTTTTTCATCATATAACTAGTTTGGCTGCAAAAGCCATAGTTTGAGAGAAATTGGACGTGCAGTAATTAGGAAAATTAATTAAATGAAATGGACGATTGATGAAAACTAGTTTGTGTAGCAGAATATGCACAATTGCTTAACTTTGAAATTTTGGACTAGGGATCGACTGCAATTGGGTCTGAAGGTTAGGTGTTCACCATGATTGCTAATGGAATCGCGGGTATCTACTGACGAGCAGGTGTCCATAAATTCCCGATTTTCAATGTCACCCTAATTCATATCAGTCCGAGATAAAAAAAAATTACGAGAAATTACTCAATAAAACTTCTGAATATAATAAATTCACTTCAAAGCTTATTACTCTAATTCTGTAAATCAGCTATGTCTGACGTTATCAAAGCTGCTATCATTATGCAGTAATCAGAATTAGCTATTGTCACTATCCGATGTAGCGTTACTAGCTGAAATAATTGTTCCTTGAGTATCAACGTCTAGTTTGGCAGTGTCGAATTAATTAGTTAAGTAGGCCAACCAATTTGCTTGTTTGAAGTTCTGTCAGCTTTAGAAAGTTGCTAGTAGACTAATTTCCAGCGTCTAGTCGTAGGTTCGCATTTTATGATGACCGAATCCAGCTATACAGGCTGGAATACTTGTTTTTTAACATCTTACGACAACACCCAGGTCGGTTGAAGGTTAGTAGAATTAAGAACAAGTTTGGATATAGGATAATGCTGTGGTGTCAGAGGGTGTGGCAGAAGTAAAGCATCCTTCTCAGACTATCAGCAGCTACAGTGACACATCTCATAACGGAAAGTCAGTTCTAAAACAGGCTTTGCCATGAGGTGACGAAGGTTACACCTCACATAATTTCTTTCGAACTCTTAAAAGCATTGTTCCCTTGTGTGGGTGATTGAGAAGTAACAAGCACCCTTATAGACATGACAGAAGCCGAGATAACCTTGTTCACGAGAAAAATAAAGTACTAGTGATCCCGTCAATTTAGTTTTAACTACTAATCACTGCTATTAAATCTAATGGGTGACTTGCAAAAGATTTAATAGAGTACAAGAATACTCTAGTTATTTTCTTTATAGTGCGGTAAAAACTCGATACCACTGCCAAGTGGTATTTGTATCCATTAAATATTTTACTGTTGTCGAATATTAGTAGGAAAGTGGCAATGACTGATATCAAACAAATCATACCTTTTTAATAAATTCTTGGAATTCAGCCACAGTAGGTGCATCTGAGCTGCTCTTGATAGCCCCAGCAGTTTGCGCCAAAGTATCCTGAAGAAGACGAACTAACTCAAGCTTAGCTCTGATGGTATTAGTCTGAAGTGTCATTTAATATTATGTTATCAATACCTCAGTTGATTTGTCTTTGAAAGTACTTGGGAGCATGAAAGGGAAAAACTTCAGGTAAAGTGGAAGCAGAAGTTCCATAAAGGGAACAATAATGAATACTGCGAATGGCACAAGACGTAAAATATCTGCCAGAGTACGAACAAGCTGAAATCAAACTAATTATTTTATGTCAGCCATTACTTGTTTCCGTTCTCTCCAAGTTAGTTCATGACCTCTGAGAACTCTGAAACAAATTCCAGAGGCGATTCTAACCTCTAACCCAAGTAATCTAAATCCATGGTAATAGTGAACAACTTCATTCTTAATGCGAATCCACAGAGATGGCTTCGTGTTTTGATTGTCATCCTGAAAAATGTTTTAACTATCAAGCCAACTCACTTTATCTTTTTTGGGTTCGTTTGCCGGTGGCTCAACACTAGTATTCGGTGGTGCAGTCTTATTTAATGCACGAGTTGTCTCAATCTTCTCTGGGTTGATGCTCCATATCGGAAAATCACTGGGTTTCTCTATATTTTTATTTTCCTGCACATGTGTGAACAGAAAGCCGCTAGTGCTGAGACGATAGATTGAGGTTCCTGGATGTAAGCGAGTGAATGGAACATTTAAAAAAGTGTCTGTGTTTATAAGTAGGCTGGAGGAAAGATACATGTCCCGGTTTTGGGGAAAACTACGCACAGCAAACAGGCGTATCTGAGTACTTGAAAGACGGATGTGTCTGAATTTCGCATAAAAATCGCAGGACAACAGATAACATACCTAAATAACGTTACCATTTGCTAGGATCCTCGAAGAACTGAGCTGATGTCAGGAATATAGACTTAATAGGTAGGTGGTCTTTGGAGCGACTATAAAACCCGGAAGGTACAAAAATGGGAGGCTATTTCAGGCAAAAGATGAGGATTTGCAATCTTATATACCTACCTGCAAACTTGACAATATAGGCGCCCTAATCAGATCCTCTGCATAGCGCAACACTCGGTTTTACCGCGGTATGGTGCCCTAAACCCATTAGGCAAGCTAAACGCAACAAAAGCTGAGTGTTTGGATCTTATTTTCAGCACTGCATGTGTATTCAACTATGTCATTCAGGTAATATTAGACTGTTAAATATGTCTTTGTTTAGCGCCTGTATATTACAAGTACAACAAATCATTCCGTAAACTGATCACTTCAATTGCACAAATCATCTTTTCTTACTTGACGTGTCAGCATTCTTATATTGTGTGATTAGAACTATGTTTGATAGATTTCTTTCTCAATGTCTCCATGGAATCCCAGAATCTTTATACTGTTCACTCTTCTATGCAGCTAAGATAGCTAGCTCTCAACATAATCATTTTCCAGATCTCACTCCTGGACAACTTCAATGTCTTTAGTTTCAAAATGCTATGTTTTCTGTTCATGTTAGAAATCTTTCAGCATTTTTTTCATATTTTCACGCCAGCAAACATGAAATAATAAGCACACATAGGACAAGTAACCACATATCCTCCAGAGTAACACATTTGGAGAGCGACGACTTCGAACACGCCTTAACACCTGAAGTATCTTTCAAGGAAGGCGATTGCGGTGAGTCGATTATTCATCTATCCAAATTTTTCATTATTACGTTGGTGTATGTTTCATATCGATAACTTCATTATGTATTATACTTGCGAAAACTCGAAATGGTGCATAGCTTTAAGAATTGTGATTAAGTGATAGACTGAGGTACAGGTTATTAATTTCCGACCTATTTATTTTATCTCACACAACCCAGAGGTCTGGGGGTACTGAGGGCTCAGTTCGAGATCGGGTGCATTAAGAACCAGTGGTAGATGCACGCCTACGCTCTGGAAACACTTCCTGTGTATCGCAATGATTAAGGGCCTTGTTAGCACGTCACCCTCTTTGTGATGCCAAACCGAGCTACCACTTCACGCGCCTGCCGTCTCTGGCAGGACCCTTGACAGCTGATTCCGGCAAAGTTAAGGCTTTACTAGCATATATACAGCCTATGATCACGGCTCTGTTCGAGGAAACACCGCTTACCCAGGTTCCCGTCATAGCAGACAAAATATCATCGACTACTAGTGATCGAGACAATCGAGAGGTCCGGTGCCCGCTATTGTCGAGCCCCTTGCTCATACGGGGACGGAAACTCCCCTACCGGGGACTAAATGCATCCGTACTCGCCGGCCCCTCACCTTAGGCTGGCCGCTTACTTTATGTCCACGACTATTGCATTAACGCTGGGTACCTAGTGGATGAAGGTGTCCACGTTTCTGTCGTACCGATTAGTAACAGCAAGTCTGAATCTATTATGCTTCGACAACCCGCTACGAATGCCTCAGTCATTCCTACATTTGGTACATGACAGCTTACTGTCAACCTGAGCAACCGAAGACAGTATCTGTGAACGTTCATCATTGCCGATATTCTCACAGCCATACTCGGTATTGATTTCCTACAGCACTATGAAATGCTAGTCGATTCACGTAGGCTACAGCTTATTGATACTTCGTGGAACAGTAGATTCATGAGATTAATATATATTCTACGCTTTATTCAAGAAGTTCCCCCAACTAAATAAACCTCCCTAGGAGATCCCATCGGTAATTAATCGCGTGGTACACCACATCGTCACCCGCGGACCCCCATTCACGGCAAAACCTCGCCGACTGACACCGGAAACATTAGCTTTCACCAAACGTATGTTCGATAATTTACTAGCTACTGGTATTATTCATCCTTCACACAGTCCGTTGGTCTCACCTCTCCACATGGTTCGCAAAAACGTTGGGGTTAGTTGGCGAACATGTGGCGACTATCAAGCAATAATCGTTGCTACATGTTTTGACAGCTACCCCATTCCCCACATACTTGACGTCATGGTATCGTTCAAGGGCACGACTATTTTTTCTACTGATCTGGTATGAGCATATCATCAGATCTCAGTCTTTCTTGAAGATACTGAGAAAACTGCTATCACAACTCCTATTAGTCTTTTTGTGTCCCTACGAATGCCATTTGGACTACGGAACGCTGCTCAAACTTTGCATAGTCCGAGACTTCGATTTTGTTCATGTCTATATCGATTACGCATTATCAAACGTAGATAAACATTATCAGCACCTAGCACTCCTATTCCAGCGCCCTTCGGATAATGGAATGATAGTGCACCTGGACAAGTGTGAACTTGGCAAACAGGCAATAAAATTCTTAGGCCACCATATTAAGCAAGAGGGTAGCCTGCCTTGTGAGGACAAAATACATGCGATAATGGCGTACACTGTACCATCATCACTCAAGGATATGAAGGCATTTATCTGTTTGTTTGACTTCTAGAGACATTTCATTCCACATGCGGCAGAGCAGTTGCGACCTTTAATCAACTCACTTCGCGGTAATCCATACAAATTAGAAGTGAACGATGCTGCGAGTACTGCATTTTCAAAGATCAAAACAGCTTACCTCAAGTCACGCTCCTCGCTCATTCTGACCGACCAGCCACGCCTGGTATAGCGGTTGACGCACAGGATTTCGCCGTAGCAGCTTTTATGCAACACAACATCTCCGTTAGTTAACAACGTCTCGCATTTTTCTCCCGAGGCCTCACTCCCATTGAGACGAGATAAAGCGCTGTTGGTCGAGAACTGCCAGCAGCCTACTGCACCATTAGGTATTTCCGGCACTCTATAGAAGGTTTCTATTTCACCTTACTCACTGACCATGAGCCTGTGACGTATGCTCTGCATACGAAGTCTGACCGCTACTCACCACGAGAGTGCAAACACTTGGACTATATCTCTCAGTTCAAGACAGAACTTCATCATACTAAAGGCGAGTCGAACTGTGTTGTCGGTGCTATGTCACACATCGAATTGAATGCAATTACTTTACCGGTGCATGATCTTCCTGCTCTGGCTGGTGCCCAAGCAAGTGACCCCTTCTTCACAGAAGCACAGCATTCATCATCCCTTCAATGCCGGGAAGTACCCCTAGATACTAGCTCAGGTACTATCCTGTGTGATACTTCCATTGGTCTACCCAGACCCATCGTACCTTCTGCTCATCGCCGTCTCGTCTTCGATGCCCTTTATAGACCGTCTCATTCTGATATCGCAGCCATATTACGTCTAATCGCTACACGATACGTCTGTCCGTCTATGAATAAAGATGTCCGTCTGTGGGTAAAGCAATGCTTACAGTGTCAACAATCAAAAGTGCACAGGCACGCAGCTACCCCGATTGGCCCATTCGCTACATCTGATGCTCGCGTCGATCATGCTCATATTGACATTGTAGGACCATTGCCACCATCGCATGGGTATGATCACATATTCACGTGCATCGGTAGCTTCACAAGATGGCCCGAATCTATTTCAGTCACGTCCATTATGACGGAAACAGTTGCTCACGGCTTTGTAGAACGATGGATAGCACTGTATGGTTGTCCTTCGACTGTCAAGGCTGACCGAGGACAACCATTAGAGTTCGAATTATTCTGCTCGCTAACCCGGCTGCTTGGTATGAAACGCATACGCAATACCGCCTACCACCCAGCTTCGAATGGTTCGGCTGAACGGTTACATCGCCAACCTTAAAACACTCTTTCAGCACACGAAAACAACAGTTGGTACGAAACCTTACCGCTCGTCCTCTCAGGTATCAGAACGAGCTTGTTCGGAATCCTCCACGTAGGGTAAATTATCCGCCACGAACTATAGCTGATGCTTAGATAGCAAGCGTGAATAGTGACATAGCATTTCAGGCTGCTGCGCAATTACGACGTCTGTGGACTACTGTCTCTAGTTCTACGGAGCATCATATTAGTGGAGCGAAGAATACTAGTAGCTAAGAAATTCCAGCTGATGTTTGTTCGGAGTCATGTCACAGACTATTCCAAGTGGTCATAGCAATTTTGATTCCAATATCCAATATCTTTTTCACGAGCTAGTGTAAACCAATTTGAACAATTCGCGCTCGATTCTTGTTCTTGCGGTACGGTCCCAGGTGTTCGGTAATGTCCAATGGATGGAGGTCTAGCCACTGGACTGTCTAATTCTAGTCAGTTGGCATTTGGCTGTTAGATTTCATGTCTCGGGATTTGAATGAAACGTTTGTTTCAGGGCATTAGGGTGTCTGGATACTAGCAGCCGTCACATTACGAAACCGGAGATCAGTTAGTTGCAATGTGGAGAGTAATTAGGGTAATAAGGATTAATTAAAATGATAATATGAATAAAATTTCAGAACTCAGTAATATATATGTGAGTTTAGTTTATTAATTGGTAGTGAGGATTGTGAGAGAGGACCGGTGTAAGCAAGGGAAAGGAAACAGGAATAATAGGCGAGATAGATTAATTGAGTGATCTGAGGAGATGGCAATGTTTACAAGTTGCAGGTCTCATGATATGCATCAGGCACAGTTTGTCCAAGAGGGAGATGATAGTCCGTATGTGAGTACGTGATTATCAAGTCTCTTCCTAAAGCAGTCCACTGAGCGGGCTGTGGTTACTTCCGCTGGGAGAGCATTCCAAGTTGCGACGACTCGCAGTGAGAAAAAGTGCGCACGAATCTGAGTATTCGCTCTTTGATGTGCAATCTTCCGAGGATTACCTTGACGGAAGTGGTGGTGATGCATCGGTAAGATGCTCACATTGGGATGGTTCGGCCTACTTAATATGTTGTAGGCCATTATCAGATCACCTCTGATTCTCCTGTAGGTCAGTGGAAATAATCCCAAGTGCTGGAGTCTATCGTCGTAGGGTTTATTTTTGAACCCTATCAC